CCTTCACTTCCTGCCCTCCTCCTTCACTTCCTGTCCTCCTCCTTCACTTCCTGCCCTCCTCCTTCACTCCCTGTCCTCTTCCTTCACTTCCTGTCCTCCTCCTTCACTTCCTGCCCTCCTCCTTCACTCCCTGTCCTCTTCCTTCACTTCCTGTCCTCCCCCTTCACTTCCTGTCCTCCCCCTTCACTTCCTGCCCTCCTCCTTCACTTCCTGCCCTCTTCCTTCACTTCCTGTCCTCCTCCTTCACTTCCTGTCCTCCTCCTTCACTTCCTGTCCTCCTCCTTTACTTCCTGTCCTCCTCCTTCACTCCCTGCCCTCCTCCTTCACTTCCTGTCCTCCTCCTTCACTTCCTGTCCTCCTCCACTTCCTGTCCTCCTCCTTCACTTCCTATCCTCCTCCTTCACTCCCTGTTCTCCCCCTTCACTTCCTGTCCTCCCCCTTCACTTCCTGTCCTTCTCCTTCACTCCCTGTCCTCCTCCTTCACTTCCTGTCCTCCTCCTTCACTTCCTGTCCTCCCCCTTCACTTCCTGTCCTCCCCCTTCACTTCCTGTCCTCCTCCTTCACTCCCTGTCCTCCTCCTTCACTTCCTGTCCTCCTCCTTCACTTCCTGTCCTCCTTCACTTCCTGCCCTCCCCCTTCACTTCCTGCCCTCCTCCTTCACTTCCTGGCCTCCTCCTTCACTTCCTGTCCTCCTCCTTCACTTCCTGTCCTCCTGCTTCACTTCCTGTCCTCCTCCTCCTTCACTTCCTGCCCTCCTCCTTCACTCCCTGCCCTCTTCCTTCACTTCCTGTCCTCCTTCACTTCCTGTCCTCCTCCTTCACTTCCTGTCCTCCTCCTCCTTCACTTCCTGCCCTTCCCCTTCACTCCCTGCCCTCTTCCTTCACTTCCTGTCCTCCTTCACTTCCTGCCCTCTTCCTTCACTTCCTGCCCTCCCCCTTCACTCCCTGCCCTCTTCCTTCACTTCCTGTCCTCCTTCACTTCCTGCCCTCTTCCTTCACTTCCTGTTCTCCTCCTTCACTTCCTGTCCTCCCCCTTCACTTCCTGCCCTCCCCTTTCACTTCCAGTCCTCCTCCTTCACTTCCTGCCCTCCCCGTTCACTCCCTGCCCTCCTCCTTCACTTCCTGTCCTCCTTCACTTCCTGCCCTCTTCCTTCACTTCCTGTCCTCCTCCTTCACTTCCTGTCCTCTCCCTTCACTTCCTGCCCTCCCCCTTCACTTCCAGTCCTCCTCCTTCACTTCCTGTCCTCCCTCTTCACTCCCTGCCCTCTTCCTTCACTTCCTGTCCTCCTCCTTCACTTCCTGCCCTCCCCCTTCACTTTCAGTCCTTCTCCTTCACTCCCTGCCCTCCTCCTTCACTTCCTGTCCTCCTCCTTCACTTCCTGTCCTCCTCCTTCACTTCCTGCCCTCCCCCTTCACTTCCTGTCCTCCTCCTTCACTTCCTGTCCTCCCTCTTCACTCCCTGCCCTCCTCCTTCACTTCCTGTCCTTCTCCTTCACTCCCTGCCCTCCTCCTTCACTTCCTGTCCTCCTCCTTCACTTCCTGCCCTCCTCCTTCACTCCCTGGCTGTAAGGACTTGGACCTTCACCATGCATAAAAGGGGAAATCGACAAATTGTACATCTTTTTGAACAAAAAAGTTTTTTTTTACATCCAGGAAGCAGTTTTCCATCCGTCCTTTCCTCCCAGCCACCCCTCCCCAGCGTAACCCCTCTGTTCCCAGATTGTATGTCTTAAGGCTGGTTGAAAACCGAGTTCCTACGCATGAGAAACTGAGACTGCCTTGTGGCCACATACGAGCTCTCAGGTTCCTCTTGGTGTTTCTTGGCAACCTGATGACAGGAACTGATTTTGTGAGAAGGATTCTCGGTTTCATTAAGGCAGTGGCTGATGGATGTATGGGGATTCATGGCCATGTTTTTTTCTCCATTGGAATCTTGTCCTTAAAACTTGGAAAAATAATAGAAAGATTTTAGTCTCCTTAGTTCATAAAAGGACGAATCGAAGAACATACAAGTGTGGATGTACCAAGCATATATTACACCCAGGTATGAAAGGGTTCTTATGTAACACGGGTCATGCACAGTGAATAGACACAGTAAAAACTTAAACAATAACACAATCAGGATGCCCTCTGGGATACTTCGGTGGAGGTATTAGTCCCACGTGTGCAGTTTGCCTTGGCATTGTGAGACTTCAAGGCAACTGTGTCACCAGCATGTCCCACCCCAGCATGAGTGACAGCCTCTTGACAAGTGTCCGGATACAGTCCCCTGCACAAATGCAGCAGGAACCTCCATGGAAGAGTCTCCTTTGGCCCAGCAATCCTTTACTGTTTCCGTAAGCCAGAGGTCACAGACCTCAAGCACTGTCTCCGAGTGAAAGCCAAAGCCCAGGCGCTGCCTTGTGTCCTGGGTCAGGGACTCAACCAAGTCAAAGAGGAAATCTAATCTCTACGTGCATACAGTTACATTGCATAATGAAGCTATAGGGTATCTCCCCATGTTTTGACTAATAAAACACACTGGATCTTGTCTACATGTATAATAAAGTTGCCCCTCAGCGTCTATGAGGGATCTATTACAGAATTCCCATGGCTCCCAGATCCAATCATGCTCCAGTTCTTTGTGGAAAATGGTGAGGTGCCAGGCATGGTAGCAGTAAGGAAGAAGGATCAGGAGTTCAAGGTCAGCCTCAGCTACATCTCAAGTTGGAGACCAGCCTGGGCTACATGAGACCATGTGTCATAGAAAAAAAATAATTGAAATAGTGAGGTATTTCATGTAATTTTCCATAGACTTCAAATAACTTCTAGGATGTCCTATAATATCTAAAGCAAAGTAAATGTTAGGTGGTTATAATACTGTGCCATTTAAGGAATCATGGAAAGAAGAAAAAGTCAGATGTTTCACACACACACACACACACACACACACACACACACACACACATGTCTGAGCTGAGCTCTAGAAAACGTAAATGCACACATGTGCACATAATAAGAGCCATCTCCTCTGGCATACCTCTTCAGAACTGGCTCTACTGTCTCTGAAACATTTAATAATGTGAAGGTGGTTTTCCAGCTGTCCGACTGCTGTTGACTGGTAGGTTTAGGGAGGGAAGGGAAGAGGCACCTCCCCCCCCCCCCAGAGGTACCAAGGAGACAAACACTAAGCAACAAGTTCTTAACGGAGGCAGGGGCATCAGTACAGGAAGGGTCAAGTAAGGCTCCCTCCTGCTCCCTCCCACCCCCCATCCTCCTCCCCACCCCTGGCACAGTAAGTGTCCTCTTCTTAAGGTTTGCCCTGGGGAGGAGGGCAGAGTTCATGTGTGACCTAGGTTCTGCATCTTATGCTAACTTAGAGCGGTCACCTTTGTCCGTGTAGGGAATGGGGATCAGTAGACGTGTGGTAGTGAGCTGGGCAGCCAAGCTTGCCTCCAGCTCCCCTTCCCCAATAGCAAGGATGAGGGGGAGTCCTTGTCAGTTCACACTGCTTCCAGCCTAGTTGCCTGCCAGACCCGTTTCCCCGACTGCGTGGAATGGCCTTGATGTCCGTATGTTTTCAGAAGAGCAAGATGTCGGAGTGGAGAAAAAGGAGCCTTTAGTTTTTATTCTCATTTTGTCATGATGAGAAAGTCTCACCCCTTCAAGTCGCTGCCAGCAGCAATTACTTGTCCTGCTTCTTGTGGGAAGCCGTGGCTTACAGAGAGAGGAAAGGCAGATGCAAATCAAAGTCAAAACACCAGAATGAAAGTGCTCATCAAAGGCTGAACATGGCTCTGAAAGATGAAAGAAACAGTCCTCAGACCACAGCCGGAAGCGAAAGCTCGAGAATGAACAAAGAAGAGCTGGTGTTGTGGAGGCTGCAAAGAGACAGTCAGGCTGCCAATGGGCTCTGGCTCAGCCTGTGGAACTGTTGGGCTTCAGCAGGAAATACAGGGGCTGGGGCTGCGGTTCCTTGCTCAACTGTGGACTGTTTCCACGTTAGATTCAGCATCGTTTGCGGATTGCTCTGCAGAAAAAATGTGCATCTACAGACAAGCAAAACCTCAGCACTCAGGAGGCAGTGGCAGGTGGATCTCTGTGAGTTCAAGCCCAGTCTGGTCTATAGAGTGAGTTCCAAGCCGCCCATGGATTCATAGTGACACCCTATTTCCATAGATAGATAGATAGATAGATAGATAGATAGATAGATAGATAGTAGATAGGAATATGATAGATAGATAGATAGATAGATAGATAGATAGATAGATAGATAGATAGTAGATAGGAATATGATAGATGATAGATAGATGATAGATAGATAGATAGATAGATAGATAGATAGATAGATAGATAGATAGATAGACAGACAGATGATAGATGAAAGCATGTGTGAACTAGGGCTAGGGGAGAGACAGGAATTCACATGATTGTTTTTTCTTTCTCTAAAAGAAATTTCAAACCCTTCTTTTGCCTCATTTTGTGTTTCTATTATATATATTCTTTTTCCTGAGTATTTTAGTATAATATTTTTGCCAGGAAAACCTTATCTTGAACAGCCTGTAACATTTTTCTGATTTCAAAACATTTAAAATTCATTTTTAAGTTATTATAGCAAAGTAGAAGGCTTTATCATACATTTTCATTCCTGGTATCACTATGTTTTGTTCTAATTCATACCCTCTCCTGCTGTCCTCACGGTTCCTACCCCTCTGTGGTGTGTTCCCCCAGTTAGTACCTCCCTTTAGATCTCCTCTTCACCATCCCCTTTCTAGGTTCAGGACTTACAAACAGACACATGCATCCATGCACACACACACACAAGACATACACACTACACACAGTACAACACAGAGAGAGACACTATGCACACATACCACACACAGATATACACACTACACTCACACACACATAGAGAGAATTTCAAATTTAGCTCCACGTGTGACAGAAAGCACACAGTATTTGTCTTTGTGAGTCTGGCTCGATCTCAGTAATGATTTCCAGATCTGTCCATTGCCCTGCAAATGGCACGCCTTTGTTTTAAGTTGCCTCTAGTTGGTTATTGGTCAGAGCATCAAGAAAAGCAGCTGGTACACAGGACTGTTGTCCCTGCTCTAGGGCCCTGGGGTTGCCCGCATTTTAACCTCTGGTTCTCTCAAGATGGCGCCTGAGTCAGACAGACTGCCCAAAGTGGACTTCTCTCCACTGCTGGCCCTGGGCCCTGGGAGGCACTGGCTTACGGAAGCCTGCCACTGCACTGGAAGCCTCCAAGGGGCCTGGGGTTGTCCTGATGATGTCACCCTTCTCTCACCTGCTTTCCCTTGGGAGAGGCTTCTGCCTCCCGCACCGCACGTGCATACCATGCAGTTGCAGGACTGAGGATGTTCCCCTTGCTTCTGCTCTGCGCCCTTGCCAGTCTCTCCACTTCATTTCTCAGGCGCCCTCTTCATCCCTTCTCCTCTTTAGAGCGGTCCAGCCCTGCTGTCTTCTGATTCTCCCTCAATGGTGACGGCTGCTGTCGGCCATCTTAGCTGATACTTCCAGCATTTCGAATCATTTGTGCCAGACACTTGCTGAACCGGGTGGGTCCGTTGCTTGTGTCAGGTGTGTCTGTCCCACCGCCCCCGCAACCCAGTGACAATAATGCTGGTCACAGGCATGCTCCCGGAGACTCTTGAAAAGCTCCGTGGCCCGGTACCGCCCAGCTCAGGATGTCTCAGACACTGCCCACAGCATCTTTGGAAGTATTCGAGATCCATCGTCTACAAGTCTATAGTACGCAGGACGGTGGCCCCAAGCATCCCTGTTGTTTTCTGGACTACAGCGGGATCCAAAGACCAAAGTGACTTAAGCCTGTAGCCATCCCCTCGCCGCTCTGCACAAGCAGGTGACTACAGGCCCGGGTGCTCCGAGCCCTGATGAAGTCCTTAGATTCTCCTGTCAGGAAGCTTTCTGGTGGCTTTTTCAAAGTTCCTCTCCCTCAGTCCTGGTTCCGGTTGGAGCCTTGTTCTTCACCTCCTCTGGCTGACACACTAGAGTCTGGATCTTCACTTTGATCTCTCTCTCTCTCTCTCTCTCTCTCTCTCTCTCTCTCTCTCTCTCTCTCTCTCTCTCCTTTGAACAGTGGTCTAAGTGGAAATGGGTACAGGAAACTTGAAATAGAACGGTATTTTCACTCTGTGCTCACTTCCACCATAAAATACAGCATGCTGGGCCTCCAGGGGTCCCTCTGACTGTATTTACTTCTTGGAGCTTCTGTGTTGATTATTTTATCACCGCCTGTGCTATGCAGGAACCTAGGGACTGAAGGTCCAAGTCAGTGTGTTTGGCCCACTCTCCTGTCAGTTTCCTGTTGGGGACTGCTGACCGGCCAAATAAAACAACTAAACCAGAGAAAGCCTGATAGCTCTGTGCAGCAGATTCAGAAGGAGAAACAGAAGGTTGCCTTTGCCTGCGGCCCCTGGGCAGGCCCAGGGATGAGAGCATTGTCTCCAGGCAATGTGGCCTTCCTCCACCTGTGAGGCACCGAGCTTCCCAGAGAAGGAGTCTTTCTAGAATGGATGGCAATCTGCAAATCAGACAACAGAGTCCTGCTCTAGACCAGTGTCCCTAACTGCCTCTTCTCCCTCAGCCAGAGATCAGACTGCTTAATTTTGCAAGAGGAAAAAGCATAGCAACCGTCCAATTCTCAGTGAGACTTTAAAAGTTCTGGAAAAAATAATTTCATATAACTATTACGCTTGTCCTCATAGAAATCCAAGAAACGAATGATGGTGATTATTGTCCCTGTCTCTGGAGATGGGGGACTCTGGTGTGACTAAAGCGGTTGACCACCAGCTGCATTAAGTGAGAAGCACCCCAGGGCTGTGGAAGCAAACAGCTGGAACCTGAAGTTGCCCACACAGTGGCCTCTAACAGCCAGTCCTGCTACAGAAACTTCAGACAGCTCTCATTTAAGTGGATGAAGGATTGTATGTAGTATGTGATAGTAAACATGCTAAGATACAAAAAACATGCTAAGATACAAAAAACATGCTAAGATACAAAAAACGTGCACATGCATGCATACAAATATTGGTGATTTCCTAGTGTAATAAGAGCTATTTATTGATTCCTAAACATCTGCTGGCTTAGATATGTAAATACAGGCATTTAAAGGTCTCCAGTAAATCAGATGTGTTAAACCTGTGCTTCTCAATTGCTGACGTCAAGGTGAGTGCTTTTTGTAGTCTTTTTACTAGATTATAAAATTGACTGTCACTTAATGGTAAAAAGTATGTTAAAAATTTTGAAGCTATTGATTCAAAGTGTAATACACTGATATTAATTAAAATACTAGTAACAATAATTATAGTTTACTTTGAAGAAGCATTTCCCTCAGATACAAGACTTCCAGTCGGGATATGATCTGAGTTGCAAAAGCTTGTGAACTCTTGAGTATTGTTTGCAAGAACTAAATCTTCCCCTGTAGGTGGCAACCATGATGATGATGTTGATTGATAATAGAGGGAAAACCACACACACACACACACACACACACACACACACACACACACACACACCGAGTGCAAGGAGAGACACTGCCAGGAAATGTGAGTAGAGAAAGCTGCATTACCCACAGCAGGCAAGGGGGTACATATATGATCTCCAAGCAGTGTTCTTCCTGAACGAAGGGAGACAGGGCTCCATTCGGGACTGTTTATTCAGGAAGTGTTCAGGGTAAGGGCACAGTTCTGTGCATGTTCAGTTGAAGACCTGCTCAGCATGAGGTCATCACTTAAGAAGGAAGGATGACAGATGTATTTGGGGACATGCTTAGTTCAAGATCATGGAGCACATGTTTGTATGTTTCAGATGAGGGGACATGGACACTTCTGGGCATGCTCAGCTTATGTTGTATAGTTTCAGCTGGAAATAAAAACAACTCTATGGAGGTGTGCTTGGGTACAACTTTGCTCCTAAAGGTGCTGACTCACTTAGAAGCTAAAAAAGCTACTTGAGTAGACCCTGAGCACAGATAGATGCCTAGTGACTTGTCCATTAGATGGAGCATCCTCCCAACACGTCCTTTTGGAGTATGAGCAGTGAGGGAAATGTGCCACAGGGAAGGGCAGACTGTAAACACCTTTGGAGTCATCTCTTGTCCATCACTCCTGATTCAATGCTCCATCTCAGATCAGCCTCTAACAAGGCATTAACCACCAACGCGATACCACCCAGAATCACCTGGGAATGAGCCTTAAGGAAGAGTCTTGTAGATTGGGCTGGCCTGTGGGCTTGTCTTTGGGGGACTGTCTCAGCTTTTGATTGATGTAGGAAGACCCAGCCCATTGTGAGCAGCACCACTTGTTACATGGGGGTTCCTGAGCCATAAGAGAAGACAAAGCTAGCTGATAGCAGGTGGGCAAGCAGGGAAGCGAGGCTGCGTGCCTTTCCCCTCTCTGTTCTTGACTGTGGATGTGAGGTTTCAGTCCGTACCTTGACGAGTTTCCCTATAGTAAAGCACTGTGACCTGAAATTACAAGTCAAACGAGCCCTTTCTCCCCAATGGCATTTGTCAGGGTTTCGTCACAGCGACAGACATGGAACTGAAATAAGGGCCTTCACTCCTTGTTTCTCCAGCTGCCACCTGAGCCTGTCACAATAAGAGAAACCAGAGACTAGGGAGATGCTGGGAACCAGCGAGGCACGGGCTGGTTCTGCTGCCTGCTCGGCTCCAGCTGCCTGCTCGGCTCCGGCCAGCAGCTCCCCATGCTCTCAGTGCAGCTCTCCAGACTTCTAACTCCAGCTGAAAGCGCAGAAGTTAAAATTCACTGCACTGAAAGGGAAGGCTGAGAGGTAATATTTTGCCAGAAGCTGGCAGGCATTTCTACTAACTCAGATGCCAGTATTTCTCCACTCGGAGATAAATCAGAGCCTCAAGGGAGATCACAAGCACTGGTTCCCCACCAGAGGCAGCTCTAATTTGTAGCTGAGCCAGGAGTACAAGCCAAGGTAAATGGCCCTGGGCTGAGCCCTGTAAACTGAAGCTGCAGTGGGAGTGGAAGTCAAAAAACAGTGCACCAGCAGAGAGCATCAGCCCCACCTTCCTCCCAGGAGTGTCAGCAGCCTGGTGCAGAAGTGGGAGGGCCTTACTGCCCTTCCTAGCTGTTAACACACACACACACATACACACACACACACACACACACACACACA